TAATAATAATAATAATAATAATAGATAATAATAATAATAATAATAATAATAATAATAATAATAACTAATTTTAGACTGCAAATTCGCTATAATAAATGGAAATTTGAAAAATTTTCGTGCACGTAAAATTGTGCAGTAAATTTTGTCGCATTTAATATTAATTGGAACTTTTGGATTTTATCAAAATTTTGAAAATGCTTTAAAATCTTCTATTACAGTGTTCCTATTATTTGCGTAGTGAAAAATATTAAAATTTGTTTTGTTTTATTTATACATTTCATCAAAAATTGTATGATGTCACAATTTCAATAATTAACTCGCTTTAATAAATATTTAAGCTTGGACAAAATTCGATAAATGATTAAATGGGCCAGTATTCCTTTTTTGAATATTTAAAAATAAACCTTAGATTTCAAAACAATATGATTAATCTTTTTTCAGTAAATGTAATAATCTTTTTCATCTTTGATAGATTTGCTGAATAATTTAGTAATTAAATAATTCCAAATATATATTTGTAAATAATTTTTTGCATATAGTAATAGCCCAGCATATTGATAATAATTATATCATATCTATTTCTATTCCTATTGATAACTTGTAGCGAGCTAATTGTAGTTTTTATTTTTGAATTATATTAAAGTAAATTAATTTAAGAAATTGGCAATAAAAAAATATTTTCTTGAAGTTAGAAATGAATGTATTGTGAACTTTTAACAAATAAATTTTGATAATATTAAAAATTTTCGTTTCCATGGTTTATATTTTTATCATAATTATGTTACAAATGTTTTTCTTTGATTGCTACAACTTCTTCCAATCAATTTGCCCTTTTCTTTTCTGAAATTTGATTATAAATCCTTTTTTAAGTTTAAATCATTTAGCTTCACGATTATCTTCCCTTTATATTTAGACTTGAAAAGAAGACACTAAGGCAAGCTTTTAACAGAATTGAAATCTCGACATTACTTTTTTCATGTCGTCAACAATTTCGTTTTTGTATTTCTATCAAAATATCCACAATTTTTTTTAATCACAAATAGAATTTAAGTTTTTCAAAATTTGTGGTCCTGAACATAAGATTTACTACCATTTCTTCATAAAGTTTGCCGAATTAACATTGCTTCAATTTAATAAATAAAAAAATTAAAGATAGAAAATGAATTTGTGAACTTTCTCATCCATATAAACGGGTGAGTTTTCTCTTTTTTACTTCATTTATTCACGTAATTTTGATATTTCATATCATTTGGAACTGAAAGATACAAGAAATAGTAGCAGTAAGTAAAAAAAGAATGAATGAATTGTAGTTTTTCTAAATTACAAATATTAAAAAAATTGAAACGAAAAGTAATACGGAAAAATAGATAAATATTAAAAAATTGAAAATATATTTAAAATAAAACAAAAAAAAATTGAATTCAAAAATTTCCAACTGCAAATTTATTTGATAAACTATTGTAGCATGGGAAAAAAACAGGTATGTGATAAAATTAGTTTCAAATATTTTATAAATTCTATTGAAATTATTAAAAACTTCAGCTCCTATTATCTTTTTTTTCATAAGTAGCATCTATCCAACTTTATTTTGTCTTTTTTTCAAAGACATTTTTTGTCAACAAAATCTTTTTTTTTTATTCGAAGCGAATGTTTGATTTTTTATTGCATTTCATATTAAAACAAATATTTAATTTCTCGTTAAGTTTGTTATGACAAAAAGTTTAAAATTAATTATTTGTTCCGTTTTTAAACAGATTTCTTTAATTCGCAAATCTTTCCTTCTTCTAATCATTCTTTTTCATAAATTACAAAATTTGTTTCTTTTTGTCAATTTGTCAAATTAAAAGCGAATTCTTGACTAAGATATCATTTGCTGATTATTAGTTCGTTAAAATTATCATTCGAAAGAAGAAAAGGGTGAAAAAGTTGAGACAAATAATCACGAAATAATTGGTAGAATGTGGAAGATAATTGACAGTAACCTGTTAATAAACTAACTCGATAAAGGTAATTGATAAAGGTGATAAAGGTGATAAAGGTAATTGATAATTTATGTAGTGACACTAAAATAATTATTATAGTTATGGGATGAAATAAATTACATTTGATCCATGCGGTACTATTTGATTGAAACAAAGTCCGTTTGGCTGTATGACATGCAATTTGCAATCAAATCTCTTTTGGCTAAATTTACAATAAATTCCACTTGACTGTGATTGTGATAAATTATTCATAGTTATAGGACATATAATTCCACTTTGGCCATACCATATGTAATTATCCGCTTATCCATAAAAATGCATAATTTTTCTTTATGCTAGCATTGATGAAAAACAGAACAAACGAATATTATTAGGTAAATAAATTTTTTTTTCTTAAATATTAGCATTTTTTAAGGAAAATTAGTGCCAATTAAAATGTTCTGTTTACACTTTCTTTTAGAAAATGCAATACAATTTGCATTGTTGATATTTTATCCATTCAGGAAAAACCATTGTAAATTGAAATACAAACTAAATGGAGGAGGGTCAAAGGTTAAGAAAAATAGAAGTAGAATGAATCTATTAAAATATCAATAAAGTTATTACCATATTTATTGAAACATAATTCAATCTTCCCTCTTTTTTTGTAAAGGATAAGTTTGTCCTTTTATTACTTACTAATATTTTTATTATTTACTAATACTTTTATTATTTGCTTTTATTATTTACTAATTATTTACTAATAAAAATAATATCATTGGTTGAAAGTAGATGATAAAGCTTGTTTGTATAATAAATAATAAATGATTGTTAGTTATACATGGAAAAGTGTCGAATAAATTAGCCAGCCATTTAATTTAATTAATCTAATTTGAACTTACACGACAATAATACTGTCACATTGATTGACAAAGCAGCAGATTGATCGATTTAGAAATAATTTAAATTGTCATTCTTCCCATAAAAAAATTTTCCATAGCAACACATATTGTTATCATAGCAATCAATTAAAGGAAATAAGTTTGGGAGAGGAAAAATATTGGAAATTATTGGAAATGATTTTGAGCAGCTAGAACAATTGTACTTGTGAGTTTAATTTTAATTTTAATTACAATGTTTTCACAAATTTACAAAATTATGCATTACTGTGTTGAGAACAGTTTGTTTAGAGAAACTTATTTCATGAACTTTTGGTAAATTTTTCGTTTCGTGCCTTTTTCCATTTTTTTTATTTCTATAGAATATGAAATTTTAGAAATTTCAGGAATTTTCCCCAACAGAATTTTTTAGAAATTTCTATTTGAATATATTATTATCGATTAGCATTGGCAAGATTTATTTTTATCGAGGCACTTTTCACATTTCAATCTAATTTAAAATGATAAAGTTGATGTGAGAGTATGAAGTGAAGTTTTATCTCAAATTTACTTAATTAAAGGGAAATGAATATTTCACATTTAAATGAAATATATATATGCAAAATTTAATTAGCCTTCTTTTTATCATGAAAATCAACAATATTTCATTAAGTTATTTTTGATGTCACATTTAAGTTGCCTGAGTACTTTTTCGTCATTTTCTCTTTTATTTCTGCAATATTTATGTCATCGTAGAATCGATTACAGATATAAATCAATGAATCACGAAATTGTGGGCAAATAATTGAATTATGAAATTTTGGGTAAATTGATGAATTATGAATTATGGGTAAATCAATGGAGTTATGAAACTGTGGGTGATAGCAGTTTGCTACACGCCTGATAGTCCAGTTCCGAATCATATTCCGATTTTAGAATGACTGTTATCATTTTAAAAAACAAAGAAATTGTTTCAGAATGTTAAATTAATTTCTTTTGGTTGACAAAAAAAGGGATGTGAAAGTATTTTTTATTATGTATGGAGGAGAACGACATATGCTCTGGGTAATTTTAAATTTTATTCACATCATACTTATCTTAATTTTGCATGAAAAATTTCGAAAATTTCCAGAAACAAATTCAAAAAAGTTTTTTTCAAAATTTTCCAAAAAAAATTTCGTAAATTTTTCAAAAACTAAACAAGTTATTAGCCAATTTAAAATGAATTTAAAAATTACATGTGTGTTGAAATATCATACCTTATTGAGAATTATTGAAATCAATGGATGCAAAATTAATTAAGCACAAAAATAACAGAAGGAAGTAATCAGTTTTCTTTCACTTTGTTAGTTAGCTAAATAGAATTATCAAAAAATCAAAATTTTTGAAATATTTCAAGACGTTGCATACAAAGAATTTGAAATTTTGTATTTTTTTAATACTTAATAAAAAGAAGCGAAGAGGAAAAGATGAAATAATCCGTTACGTATGCATGTCTCATCATGGATCTTTGTTATCAGTAAGCTTATCACTGATTAGATGAAAAGAAACTGTAAACGAAAAACCACAATTGCAGGAAAGATAATTTTTTCTTTCAATAATATTAATTAAAAATTTTTCAATAATGTCAATTTCAGTAATGTCAATCAATAATGTTAATTTGATTCAATACCGGAAAAGGTTCTTTTCATTGCATTCCGGATGAAATGTTTCCTAAAATCTGTATATTATAGTTTTTAGTTTTACAATAACTATCCACTTTTGTTTGGCAATCAGAAGTACAAGCCATAATGCAAGCATGCAATTGTGTAGACAAAACAAGAATGTAAGTATGTAAATCAATGCAAGCATGTAATTGGATGAACAAATGCATGCATGCAAGTATGCAGACAAATGCAAGCATGTAATCGTACACTTTTATTTGTTGCATTTCAGAATGCTTTGTATAGTTATTGATTGAATGGAATGTATGTAAAATAATATTTGGAAAGTATTTCGTTAATAGCAATTCCTTAAAATTCAAACAATTAAATTTCTTTCAGAAATAATTCTAAAAACTTCAAGAATTAATAGTTTTTCAACAAGGCTTTAAGCAATTTGTTAGACTTTTTAAATTTCAAAGGAAATTTTCTTCAAAGTATTATCGATTAAATAATACCTTTTGTAAAGAGTAATATGTGACAACTGATTTGATACAGTGCAATTAAATTTACTTTACGACACTTTTTTGCTTATTTTATATTTTATTTCACCTAATGATTACGATGACATCTTGCAAACTTGATCAAATTTTTGATAAAAGTGATAAGAGATGTGCGAAAGTCTGCGAAGTTGTTTTTAAAAAAATGAAAAATAAAATTATAGCCCCAAATTTTATCAATATTTCAAATAGAAAGAGAAAAGTTATTCGTTTTAATTTTGAATTGGCTTTGAGAAATGTGACATTTAGATGAAATTTGTCGTCATTATGAGTGCTGGCTTATTCCACTTCGGCTTAAATATTATCGTCAAAAAATATTCGGAAAATAAACGAAAGAAAATGAAGAACGAAACGAAATCAATCAAAGGAAATATGGTCATTTGGAGAGAATATTTTGAAAAATTGAATTTTTTTTCAAAAAAAAAAAGCGAGAAGACGAAAAAAATTATTTTCAAATATTATATGCTAAAGAAAAGAAAAAAACCGACGAAAGTATTTTAGCAAAGATAGTTCGATGTTTGTCATTTGCTTAACTGAAATAATTTATTTGAGAAAAAATTGTTTTATTTCTAGAAATGAATATCTTTTACAAATAACAGTTATGTAATGGCAATAAAAAAACAATAAAATAAAAGGGATGCAAAACTGGAAGATATTTAAGGCCAAGGCCTTTAAAATACCTTATTCTTTCTAAACGTCTCCATCGACTTTTCTGCATAAAAGTAAGCTATATTCATTCTGTTGATTAGCTATTTTTTTAAAAGACAATTTCTTTTTCTTCCAAGTAAAATTCATTAATAAATATTATTGCAATTTCTATTTGAAAATTTTGTTGTGAATTAGACTTTATGTTGACACCACTTGGGAAGGATTAATTGTAATTAATTCTTTTAGGAAAAACTGGAATGATTTCATTAAAATGGGTCACTTTTCTCTTTCTTTTAAAAAATAATAAACAAATAATAAAAATTTATCAAGAAGTATTTTGAATTTTACAAATTTAACATTTTAAATAACCCCTTTTTACTAAATTTTACAAAATTTTTAAACCATTTTAAATAAACCCCCTTTTTACTAAATTTACAAATTTAACATTTAATAACCC